AAGTCGAAAGCCCGTATTCACGAAACAAATAATGTTTAGCGCCACGATCGGCAGATCAAATATTGGAAGCGGTAGCCTTGGTAGTGAAGAAATTAATTATATCCAATGATTATAGGAACAGACTTTCTATCTGAGCAACCGAGCGGTTATCGATCTGCAAGCGTCAAGTGGTAGAGATTAGGGAGCCAGGTGATAGAGATTTGATCTGGGAATGGAGGAAGCAGCATGAAGTATTTATCGGGAATATTATCAGGGAATGGATAGAAGATAATTAAAGCAGCAGGTTTGAGCAGATAGAGGTTTTGTAATTAAACGCCACAGAAAGATGAAATTTTAAATTTATTAATAGAAAACAAAAGCGGTGTTTCAAAAAGGAGAAAAAAAAGACAAAAGAAAAAAGAAAGAGAAGAAACCATGATCCAATAAATAGACTTCCCAGTTCCGCATTCAACTTACTGATTTATACCCCTTTGCAGACAGCGAAACTACCCTATACCGGCAGCACTAAAAAAGGACCGTGACAGAGTTGCTCGATCAATGGTGGAACGACCGGCATCATAAGAAAAGGCACAGACATATACACGAACCCAGGTCGGTAATCGGTGAAAAAGAAAGATGGTGGACTGTCGGTTGTGGTTTAAGACGCCGCGATTGAATGCGTGACAATACCATATAGGGACGGCCCCATTGTCAGGGAAGAGCGTTTACAGAGATTTTGGAGGAAGCCTTGATTTTTTCCACAGACAAGATTTCAGCAAAGGCATATTGGCAGATGCAAGTGGCGGAAGAAGACCAAAAATACAGGGTTTTTACATTTGAAGAAATTTGCTAACGTTTTCTGTAGAGTGCCGTTTGGACTAAGAAATGTGGAGCAGCATTTGATTCGGTTGCGTGGATAGAATACTACAAGGAAAATTGCCAAAACCAAGTCACAACGTACGTTCGACGACTAGTACTGCTTTAAGCAAGATCTATCGAGCAACATTTCAAGATTTGCTGGGAACTAATTCAGATACTACCAAGAAAAAATTTGTACTTAAATCTCAAGAAGTCCAACATTGGTTACTAAGAAGATAGAGTTCTTGGGGTATGTAATTTCAACTGAAGGAATCAGCATGAAAACCAGAAAACTATCGAACAATTAGAAAACATACCGCCACCGAAAACGGGTGAAAAAGGTACGGTCGACCTTATTGGGACATGTATATTATTATCCAGATTGTTTGCCCGCGATTTGCGGAGGTGCTATATCCATTTTACCAATTATTGAAAAGTGCGCCGTAAATGGAAATGGGACGACACATACCAGGAAGCATTTTGACAAATAAAAGAAATGTTCTACAACAGTTGCTTCATAGGCCATTCCCGACTTCACAAAAACTTGCATTGTACAAACAGACAGTAGTGATTTGTATGGGGGCTATGCTGTATCAAGTAATTGAATGGCCAGATTAGTGAATGATAGGCAAGAGGGTGGGTTAGGACATTATCTAATTTTTCATAATCTGAGAACCGTGTCCTACACTGTGAGAACAATATGTAAAAACTAGGCAAAGGGTAAATTTCATTTAATGGTTGTTACTAAGAAAATTAGAGAAATGATTATTAGTTGTATTTATGGTAGCTAAACTGAATTTTATTTAATTACGAAGTATTTTGGAGAATCATTTTGTTGTAAATGTATAAATATTTACGTTCATAAAAGAAAGTTCTGTTGTAAGGGTAAGATAAACATATGTCCTAGTATAAGTTAATCATGTACCATCGATTTGTAAAAAGTATTGTACTTGAATGAATCACAGATTGTATAAGATAGTTGTATAAGTGTGACTTGGAATTATTAGTGATTGGATTTTCTTTGACAAGAAAACATCCCGAAAAAAGGGGGTGAGGGGGTGATGAAAACGAAGAACGCTTCTACATAATAAATTAGCAAAACTGATATTAATATTATAAGAAAGAGAAAACGCTGATTCGATCAGCGGCAGGTGACCCGCGCCGCCGCTGCCACACAACGGTCAAACCGGGGGGGCAGGTGCGCGACGCGAGTGACGGTTGGTCAGTAGCGAAAAGGAGCACGAGCGCCGGCTGTAGTAACGAACTGACGCCACGACAGCGCCTGGGTGTAATATTGGCGACGAGGGGGCCGCTAGTGCCGGGTGAAGGAATATAGACGGAAGAAGCCGCGGCGCAGTGCGGATGGGCTGTGCTGCTCTAAACAAATGTGTGGTGAAATACCCAATAGTGTGGAACTGATTTATAGTTTATTGAGTGGGAGACTAGAAGGTGCTAAAATAAATTATCAGAATGATTAGAAGAAACAGAAGTGCGAACCGGACCGGATTTCGTGAAAAACATTAACAGTGGAATTTAAGTGATCGATTAGACAACGGCATCTCCATGTCCGCTTGATGTTAATGCGCAAGCAGCGGACCGCAACCGTGGGAACAACTGTGGGGATTGAGGAGAACGGCCTGTAATTCGGGCTGCGACGGGACTCCGCTGCGTGTTGGGGCCAGTACACGGTGCGCCAACCGCCGAAATTCGGCTTTTCCGGACCACTTCGGGAACGGCGCGGAGTTGCCGAGCGCGCGCGCCGTTGCCCACGGCGGGCCACGCTTCGCCTGCCAGTCAGGCGGTGGACATCGGAAGCTTCAAAGGTAGCGTTTACTCGTGCACGACTATTAAAAAGGCCTTTGCGCACTGCGAATTGTAAAAAACTTAATGTAATTATGTGTTATTAAAAATATAAATTAAAATTTCATATTAGACAAAATTAAAATTAATTTATAAAAAAAAAAACCAAATTATACAAAAATAAAATTTTAATTAATTAGTTATATATTTTATTCATTTTAAATGAAAATTTATTATATATAAAAATAAAAGAATTGCATAAATGGAATTTCTTTGAATATCTTCCAAATGCCAGCGTCAATATTCCCCTGGAGACCCATTCACCGAAAATGTACCCGTCCTTTATTATGATTGTATTGTCGTGAAAGTACGGTTCCGCGGAGGCTACGTCACAATATATATATATATATATATATATATATATATATATATATATATTATATATAATATACTTGAAACGAAGAACGTCTCTAATTAGAACAATTACAATGATCACCAATTATAAATTAAAATATAGTACTGGAGTTGATCAGCGCAGTAACCGCCGCCGCGCCGCCAACAACGGTAAAATCGGGGGGGGGGACGGCGGAGCGAGCGACGGTTAGTGGTAGCGCGGAGAGGCCTTGAGTGAAGCACGGCCGGGGCAGTGCTGCGTCCAAGAGATTTATTGTCGTTGTTAAGTGCCGTTCGGACTGAGTGTGGCCGCTGAGTGTGTAACCAGGTTTGATAAGGATTAACAATCAAGATGATTAGTGGAACGTATGAATTGCGCAACCAGAACTGATAAAAAACAATCTAAGACAGAAATCGTGTGGCCGGTGGGCTCGTGTCATAATCCCGCCCTGGTAAATATAAAGGGGCATGTACTGTACGGACATCCCCGGCGGGGCCCCAAAAAAAAAAGTTGCAGAAAGGCCGCTGAAAAGACTAGAACAGCCGACGAACATCAATCCACGGGTGTGCGTTTCCAATACACCGGGGACTTGTTCACACACCGGCTGGGGTGTGCCCCGCGATATCTCGGCCGTTACGCTTGGGCCAAGGAGTTGGTCACGAGGGAGGGCGAATTCCCGCGGACTTCGGGGCGAACCGATGATTGCGTAAGACACCGCCGCCGTTGCCACGACGCCCCGTCGCCTCCAAAGGAAGGCCAGGTGGTTTTAAAAATCAAGGGTAGTCGGTTGACCGGTGCGCTTGTTTGCCAAGGCCTGCGCATTGCATATTTGTAAATTACTATTTGTAATGTGTCGTTTTCTCTGATCATTAAAATATTTAGATGGTGCAAAAGAATTTAGTTATAAACGATATCTTCCACATGCTGCCGCAAATTCCTGGGAGACCCATTCACGAATGTCACCTGTCCCTTGCATAATTTATTTGTAGTGGAAAGTACCGCTTCCCAGGTACGTCACGAATATATAATATTATATTATATATATATATATATATATATATAATATGTATATATATACACACACTTGAATGTGAGATCATCATTTGAGTAAGTTTTATTACTTCCATTTAGGTTCGTATATTTCAGCCTTGTGGTAATTGACTATCAACACGCACGTTTTTCCACGAGAATTTTTGCTGCATGTTATCTGGTTATCCTGCATAAACTTTCTTAAATTGTATTTCGAAAACTTTTGTAGTGTACTCAAATGTTATCAATTTATCTTGTTTTTTATTTATTTATATACGTCAAAAATAGTTAAAAACTATGTGACGTGCTTCGGGGAGAAATTAAATTGAAGTTACATTAATGTGTCATTTGTCTCGTCACTTTACGTTCTCCCTCAAAGAAATACCTTACGCAATGAATACAATCATGTATTATTTCTTTAAAAAATGCCTAATGGAACCAACCTATTTCTAAATACATAATTTTGATACTTTACTCAAAATTTCACTTTAATGTAAGGTGCATATTATATCAATGCGTGAATTACGCCCATCAATATAATAATGTTAAATAAATTACATCAATATTTCTGTAATATTTTAGTATAGTTAGAAATAGAATAGGATAATATACAAAAGCAAAATGCAAAGGTAATTTTATTATAACACTGTCAGCATCTTTTAAGGGAGAAAGACAAACACTTCTAAGAGTGATACAAGTGTGGCGAAAATATTCAGTTGTACGTAATAAGAAAAAACCATTTGTAATCAAATTGAGAAATAAAATAAATTACTGTTAACGTGGTTTTTCAAATAGTAAAAATTTACAGAAACTTAATAATTAATGTTTAAAATTCAAATACCTATATAGTTCTTTAGTTATTTACTTATTCAGACGTTATAATTCATGCAAAAGGACTTGAAGTTCAATTCAGTATTTATCATATATTGTTTTCCTTCAGGATGAATACCGCAACTTGACCCTAAAAACTATGTTTATGCTCCAATGGTTTAATGTCTTCTGTGACGCCCACTATCTTCTCAAGGTATGTGAACATCATGTACTAAAATACACACATAATACAGTATGATTAACACTAGAAGTGTAACATGATAAAAACTGCCTGGAAATCATACGATTTCTTTAAAATATTTCAACCCGGCGTGCCTTTTGGCAAGAAGTGATGTACGTAAAAGTAGCCAAATATTTTTTATTGAAATTAATTATTCCATTTGAAACGACTATTTGAAATGTATGTTATTTACGAAGAACATTTTTATTGGAATTATACAGAGCATTGATGCATGATTAGCATTTTCACTAATAATACTGGTCAACAAAAAAACTTTTTTCTATGACAAGAGAAAACACTGTTTCTGGAAAATAATTTGCCACTCAATTCAGATCTCATTTCATAATTTCTGCATCGGCCTCAGTTTTCATATGAGGATGGGTTTTTGTAATTGCGTATTTCTCCCTATGTATTACACATGTATCTGGCAAAATGTCACGCTCTAATAACAACAGATCCACATGTATACGGAAAGAAAAACAATAACAAAAGTGTTAAGAAAAATGAAGAGGAGAGTTGGAATGTTTCACATGAGGCTTCAAATGTTGGTTCTGCATGGATATCTCCTCCTCTGTCTTCTGAATATTTGTCACTGTATCATTTATCTTCATTCACTGTCAAACTCTCAGGAGGTAGTGGTACCGGCAATTCTTCACTGTGACAAACAGGCCTTATAGCAAATGGTAAATTAGAATATTGTACAATTTTCTTTGTTTTTGAGGCGATTCCATCTATTTGTGTCACACAAAAATTAGTATGTTGTGTAATCGGTTGGTTCCCTGCAAATCATGCAGAAGGCATGTGTCGCGAACCTTTACACCTGCAGGTCAGGAGTGTAATACATGACACAGCATGTATCGAAGGCTCATATCTTGTCCTGGTCGTATACCTTATACACCCGAAATAAAGTTCAAAATACTTCATTCTCAGAGGATTAAGGTTCGGATTTTGTGGTTTCGGAGTTAGTTCTCCACATATACAACATAACGTATTCGGGCTACGAGTTACGAGGCACTTCTTCTTCTGAATTAATACAAAGTACAAACCTTCACGAACCTAGAACAACAAGCAATCACATCCAAGCCGCTTTCCACGCCGTTAGATCTCCTAATGCTGGGACGCAACTGATAACAAACACAAGGCGATTCTATCTGTTCGAACATGACCTATCAGCAACGTTGCCAATCCCTTATTCATTTCCTAAGGGTGAATTTTCTGAATTCAGTGTCTTCTATAAGAATTCCTTGTACACATTTCGAGTGTTCCTGAACAAGTACTTCTGCAGAATTATTAAATAAAGCTACAACAAAATAACCAATATGTACCGTTTTCAAGCATTTCCGTAGCATGTTACAAGAAAACTGAGCCCGATAGGCAGAAACTGATTTCATATTTGAATTCTGTGTCCAAGACGTAGCTAAGAACTCCATTCACATTATTTGTTTCAAACATGCTGTTGACCATTTAACGTAACATTTTCCTTGTTACAAATTCGGCATGTCGTTTACTACTGTTCCTCCAGCAGAGTGCTTTTTAACAAAATAATATATTTACCTGAATATGCGATCATAATTTAAATAAGTTTTATTACATTCTAAAGAGTTCCGAAAATTCCAGCACTAGTATTTCTTTTCAGCATTATAAATGACATGAAATAATTATATGCGTCGTCTTTGCCAACAATATTATTTATTTTAAAAAAACGGCTTTCGATGGCTTAGCCATCATCATCAGTTTTCTGCTGTATGGAAGCCACAAAAATGACTACCTGTGGCTTCCTTGTGGGACCTCGTAGTGCACAGAAACATCTGACCCCAGAGTGCGTTTACTGGTCGCATGTCACAGATACCGAGTGCAAAGGGTTGGCACGAATAATAGCGTAATCACACATGCATAATAGCGTAATAGTAGCGTAGTCACAATTGCAGCGAGTGGACTGTGCAGAGGCAGCGGTGAACCTAGCAGCCGACTGCCGTTTTTTCGCACAGATGTCAAATACCAGTGTCATCACAATAAAGCTACTTCCAAAAATTAACTTTGACTATCTTATAAATTTACAATGCTGTCATACAAAAAATAATGTGTGCAACTAGTTTATAATGTTGCTTTATTGCAGTCCTGGGCAACAAGTCGATCACTTTTATAAATCTCTTATACAAATGGTACTCCCGAATATCAGATTTTGGTGCATGATGTGCAGTCACAGACATCCCGTTAATTAGAAAATGTAAGGTTTCATTTTGTTGCAGCCAAAAAGCGTGAGCCAAAAGGCAAAAGGCGTTTGCTTCGTGGAGTACAAAGTTTGATCCTAAAAATTTCCAGAATCTCCCCACTACTGTCCTTCGGTATGCGGTCAGGCATGTCGCTGATCTCAACACTTCCTAAGCTGATGAGACGAAGTGAAGTCGAAACAGTATAGCAAAAGATGACGTAGGCGTAAGCCAAAGAATATGTTTGCTAGTGTTTGCCAAAGGGTATCTTGTTTAAAACACTTTGACCAATGGGTCTCAAATACCACTCAGAAAGTTTGAGTTTTGGTAGGATTGCCAAGGTCTTGGGATAAACTTTGATCCCGAATGGGCGGTCACTGCAAAATGGGAAAAATGAAAGACCCAGTTTTGCTAAACGTTTTCGAACTATTCGGTTCTCTTCAGCAAAGTGAAGAAGCCTTGGAACGTATTGGATTGAATGAAGTCTGTGCTTCAAAATATGTTGCAGTCAAAAGCCAAAAGGCGTGAGCCAACAGGCCAATGGCGTTTGCTTCGTGGAGTACAAAAATAAAAGAGATATTTGGGATCAAAGTTTATCCCAAGACCTTGGCAACCCTATACTGATTCGACTTCAATTCGTCTCAACAGCTTGGGAAGTGTTGAGATCAACGACATGACTGACCGCATACCCAAGGACAGTAGTAGAGATTCTGGAAACTTTTAGGATCAAAAATTCATTTTGTTGTAATTTGTATGCGTACTTGGGTAAATAAATAACATTTTTAATTCAGCAGTATTAATTTGTTTTGTAAAAAATAAAACTCCTCCTTCTTAATAACTAGGGGGCGTATTTTAATGAAATAACTTTTTCTTTGCACTTTACAACAATGTCGTTTAGTATAGAAATTAATTTTATGTCATAAAAAGGAATGACTAATTTTTCTATGACATCTTTTGTGCATCTTTCGTCCATTTCGACTAATGAGTCATTTTTTACCGTTTCCATGATTTTTAATGCATTTTCGCTGATTTCATCGATTTTAATATCATTATAATGGTACTTGCTTTAAATAATATTTACGAGTTGTAGTAGTCTATTCGATTTATTCGCTCAGAAATTATAATGTCAGTGGTAGTGAGTATGTAATATAATATTTCTGTAAAGCAAATCTGCTAGTTATAATTTCAGATTAAGTAGTTTATTCAAAATAGGCCCTAACTCTGCTGCATAAGCCTTATCGGCTGCAGTACTAACTGTACCGTTTAACATGAATAAATTTCCGCTTCTTCAGGGCTGCTGGAGAGGGGAAATTAAAAAAAATAAAAACGCGTATATCCACCATTGTTGGTTCAGCGATTTTGGGTATACAAAAAACAGATTTCTTGGTAAAGAACAGTCCAAACCAAAACTTTGCAAGCTGGGTTCACTTCAATGACGAGAAACACCCTTGATTACATCAGTAATGTATCAAACAGCTGCCGTTGTTCATCCAAATTGGTTTTGATAACTATTTTTACGTCAGTTTTCTTTGCTTTTAGGGCATTTTAAAAAAATTTAAGAGTATTGATTATTTTTGCGATGTTTTAAGTCATCAAAATCGCCCCTACTAATAACATTCAACTGGACAGTGGTCGATCACTTTGGCTATTTATAAACGTAGATCTCATTTTAGTTAAAATTGCTCAGGTCTGTTTTATTGCATTCGCATAAATTTGAAAACTCTCTCCTAACATGGTTCATTTTCAAAACAAATGCTCGTGCAATAAAACTTAACATTATAAACTACTTACATAGTATAATATTTTTGTTTCTGGTCTACCTTGTTTGTTATTAGTTAATTCGAAATAAATGAATGATTTTCAGATAGACGATGATGTTGCACTGTCAGCTGATAAACTCGAAGGTGTCCTCAGGAAGCACGCCAGTGTCAGCCTTGGAATCATCGGCCGTGTGAATAGACTCAGCAAGCCAATTCGTGATGTTCGGAACAAATACTACATTTCCCATCTTCAGTGGCCTGCAAGCAAAAAGGTCTTACCACCTTTCACCGCTGGGCCATCTTATCTAGTCACCAGAAATGCTTCAAAGTTGCTCTACCAGCGTGCTATGCAGGTACATTATCATATTGAGAACTTTCTTTATTAGAGAAACTGTTTTACGCGATGGGATGTCTAGTTAGTTCATCAATAAAATAAATATCTGAGAAAGAATTTCGATTAATAAAGAATGTCTATTATCGTTAATTTAGACGTTTTCCTACTTGAACTTTAAAAATATGATATAAAATAAAACTACATTGAAAGTCAAACAAATAGTACCACAGAGTGCATCTGCTGCAACAAGAAACTTGATCCACTTACATATCAAACGATATGTAAGTGTATATAGTGTATATGTAAAATACTTCAATATCATTAAATAGCAAACATCCTCAACCAGGAACCAATAGATAATAACATATACTAGTTGGACCCGTTCGAACCTTTTGCACGTCGTAAATCATGAATTTAAATGGCATAATTTCATTAAACTCGGACCAGACATCGAATGTGTCTTGACAACCAATGGTAGCTGCTCCTTAAGAGCTCTAGGACGACGCCCTCTCCAGGAAAACCAACCACGGGAAAAGTTGCAAAAAGTATTAAACTTGCAATAAATCAACTCGTTTTATTTGTGCATACCACCAGCGCAATTTTTTGAGGACGAATTTAGTTTTAAGAGCCCGATTAAGCGAGGAGGATTAAAATTCTGATACGTTCAAATCGGTTGTACTCTATATGCCATAGTTTTTCTCGTCCAAGAAATATTTTGAGGAGGCAAAATAATGAATTTAATAGTTCGGACATACATGCTTGCTCTCCTAACCTACCGGCCATCACTTCCGACAACCCATGCCATGAAGTGCGGGTATCCTCAAAAAACCTTACAGAGCGTTCAAAAAGGTATCATTTTGTACTAGTAATTTTAACATCTAGGTAAGGTCTAAACGCTTTATTGACAATCACCTTATTGACCTATTTTTGTTTTTATAAACTACATATGGTTACATTACATGAGGTTTCAAACATTCGTTTTCTCCTTCTTCGGGTGCTGAAATTACCCATATCAATAGTAACATGTTATACACATACTTGTTTCAACATTAATTTTCAACACTTTCCTAAAAAGACATGCATACTTTATACATTTCTAATTCTTGACTTAATGGGAACTCCTGTTTCCAAGTCACATTGGGTTGGATATTTCACTAGTTATCTAGTGATAATATGACTTGGAAACTGAGCTGAAAAAGGATCACATTCCTTTAGAAAGAGTCTGCCATCTAGAAATAAAAAGAAACGAATGAGTTGAAGAAGAAACATATTGCAGGAAGATGTTCCCTGTTCTACTCAAATTCTCCATAGTTCGAGAAGTCGCCGCGCTGGTGGCGCTAGTGAGCATATTATTTAGCATAACTGCACAAGGGTAGGTTCAGGTTCATTGTCCATTAGAGGAGTGCCAAGAAGTTGCAGGAGGTTAAATAACTATCTAAATTCATGCCTGATATAGAGGGAATAGATTTTGACCTTCTGCAAAACTTGCCTTTACCGTTTTTTCCTGTACAAGAAATGTTTTACCAAAGATAACTCTTCTACGTTTTCAATACAATCATATTTTTAAAAAACAAGGATTATTTTTTAGTATCGTAAGGGTGAGGGAAATAAAGGACCAAATGTCGTTTCTTCAATGGTCTTCAATTTCATTACAAGTCACATTCCTGTAGAAATACTAGAGATTGGCGAATTTAAAGATGAACTCGTGGGTGGGGGCAAAAGCGAAAGCACGCGCTCTACGAAATTCTTGCACTTTTGAGTATGATGAATATGTTTGAGGAAGTATATTAGTACAACCCTCGTAAGTGGACATCATTTCACGCGATGTGATCGTGCCTTTGGCATCTTGATGCGTGGTGACATGACCGCGTTTATTGTCCTTACCAATATAAGGCAATTATCAAAAGTGCTAAAAAGACTGAACCTACTTTTCACGTAAAATCAATGCGGAATGCCACTAATTATCTTATCTTATGATACTTATTATATTATCTTAAAATAATGGATAATAAATTAAAAACAAATGATAAAAATTGTAAAATTGAATTGATATTTCAAATCACAGCACTTGCTTTTGAGAACATTTTTTTAACAAAACAACGGATCAAGAGGATGCACATATTTACAATGGGTATTATTTTCCGTACGTGAATTTATCTTCTTAATTTTTTTCATTAATCTTAACAGTTTTGGTAAGTTCACTCCCATCTATCTATATATATTTTCTACATACTACATATATTTTGCTTTTATCTATTTTACTTCATAATTTCATCTCGAATTACTGTGTAATATTATTTTTAATAATTTTGTTCTAAACAATTTCATCAACATTTATATTCAGTAACATTCATAAATAAATTAACGTTTTGTTCATACCTGATGTTGTGTATACAGAGTACACAAAACGTCGTGTTTCAGTATTATAAGAGTTTTATGAAAACTTGTACATTGATTGACCAAAAAGTAAGAAGGATGCCTGAGTGTTAAATTAATGTCATAAAATTTCTGCAGTAACTATCTTTTACAAATATGAATATATGTATAAAAACTCAGCATAAATATAACTTAATTATATTCACCTACTTTTCAAAACATTTTACAAATATACAGGTTTATTCCTCTCCGTAGAGACATGATATCGATATGGAACACATATATTCGTATTTCAGACTTAAATATGTGTCAAAAACATAAGTATGGCACGTGTACCTGTTATACGTCACACTAATAAAACTTTTACAACTTGAGAGGTGAATTCCTCACGTTCAAGACATCCAATCGTTATGTCATTTACAGACTCGTCTTGTAGACATTAAAATCAATCGAAAAATATTTTTTCTCGGGTGTGTATTATGATATATGGATTAGTGTAAAATTTTATATCTTTGAATCAGTATGACGGATACTCAGCGACGCCGACACGGTATGGCATGATCGTAATCGGCGATGAAATTGTTTTTCTTTTCCTCATTGAATAAGAAAATTAGCTTTTTAAACTCGTAATCCAAGTAATCATTAAAAAATGACACGTTTAAATTTAGTATGGCGGACAGTTCGAGACGCCGCATCAGTACGGCATAGGCGCATGTGCACCGCTCACACCTACAGGCCGCCATATTTGCGTTTCCTTGTTCCTCATAACACTGGTTAACTTCTCAAAAAGTTTTTTGCTTTGAACTTATCATACGTTGGTTTTCTTGCTAGCTCCCGGTCTATTAGTCTGTTTCGCGAAAAGTGTAAAATTAATTCAATTCGATAAATGTGATACGTAATAGTTATTTCAACTTTCGTATCGCAGCAATATTAATAACAGTAACAACAGTAACTACAATAAGTACAACAATAATAATAACAAGAGCAACAACAGTAACAACAATAGGGACAACAAAAATAACAAGAATTACGAGAAGAATAACAACAATACCAAGAACAATAACAGCAGTAACAACAACCACAATGACAATAACAACAACCACACCAATCACAACACATTTGCAACAACCCCCAACAACAATCACAATGACAATAATAACAACAATCACGATAACAATATTAACAACAATAACAACGAGGACAATGACAAGTTTTTTGACCAATTTTTCTTGAGCTAGTTAACAAATATTGGTCCTCATCCTCTTATTCCCCTTGGTATTGTTTTTCCCACTCTATATATACACAACGACAGTTTTCTGGTGCTAAATACATTAATTACCATACATAAAACAAATACACAGAAACATAAATTATATTTGCTTTTTATTTTGTTTATTTTTTAATACCAATTGTAGACTAGATAATGTCTCATAAGAAATGCCTTTTTTCACACAGACCGAGTCACCTATTGAATTTGCACCTCTTGAAGATGTATTGTTAACTGGAATTATTGCATCAGCTGCAAAAGTTCAGTTGTTCAGTGAGTCTTACTGGCTCTCTGAGGAACGTGATACAAAGAAGCGGTTGCTACAGCTTTTGAGACAACAAGAACGTAAACATCTGGCCGGGAAAACAGGCTGCATCACTGAGACACATCATGTAAGTCAGTCAACTACTTCAGGGGTAGATCCGGAGACGAATTTTTTTTTTGGGGGGGGGGGGATTCGTGTCTGTGAATAAAGTTTAATATTTAAAGAATACTTTTTAGTTTTAAATTAAAAATAGCAATAATTTATTATTGAAATTGTTGAATTCAGAGTTGCCAAAGAAATAGGGTATTCTATTTTTCATTCTACAATACAGGTGTCAACAGATAGATTTTAAATAAAAATGATATCGATTCTACTTTTTCTTTTTATTAGATTTCTTTATCTTTTCTTCTTATTATTTTTAGATATTTTCTTTTCTTCTTAAGCACGTATTAACTGCGTCGTTTCCCGGCGCATGGAAGCGATCCATTCCCTATTATTTTGTTTCGGGCACACTGTAATGGCGCGAAATGACACAGCGGCTCACGATAACTCGCATCGCACCTAGGGAGAGACCTCCGTCAACACTGTTTCCGGTTGCGTCGGCCACATCGAGGTTACGAGGAAGTTTCCTTAGCCTAATTGTCAAGCCTATGGTTAAGCGGAGTAGAAACATTTGTACTGTCACACGAGAACAGTCGAAGACAGTTTTCCTACCACTAGGCTAAAATACAACGAAAATTAAGATTCTCATTCCTAATATTCTAAGGTCGGATTCCGCGGTTAATTTTTTCGATACATTTTAGACGTTTACATTTTTTTCTTGATGCTGCGATTCACTTTTATTCGTTTATTGGATGCCTTAATGATTATCCGAAAATATTTTTACGGAGTAGAGAGAAGGCTACGCGAAAATACGGCGAATTTTCAGTAGAAGAACTCTTATTACAGGGCACTTGTAACAAACAATGGATAAATCCTGTTGCTAAATTTAGAAAAAAAAAACACTCTAACACACCTCTAGTCAGAATCCATATTTCGTAGGCCATTGATACCGAAAACTCGAATGACGGAAAAACGTCTGTCTGTCCGTCTGTGAACAATGCTAGCGGCT